GGTTAGGAGGACCTGAAGTGACCCAATGCCGAGTACGACGCTCAACCTCTTGCATCTAGCGACTGACGCCACGTGCGCACTTGCATTTCTATCGTAAATCGGTCTGACCAATGACCTTCACTGTACCTGATCGCAGTCACTGTCTCTGCTCTCAGGCATATAGTGGACATCATCGATTGCGGTGGTCGAACTAAACAAACACACAGGGTGATAGATCTACAGATCACGCCGTACTTATAGTTCGCAGTAGTCACGCAATCGCATTCGCACTATAATTAGCAGCTCCCGTAATCAACATTGGAGGTCATAGTTGGTGAGATAAGGCCTTGGCAGTCCGCTTTGGAGACTTTAATAGCCTACATCCCTTTTGAAAGTAGGCTTAATAATTGCGCGACAAGTGTGTTCGCTGTCTTCGGAATTGTTGCTAGGTCCGGCTCTTCTCACCCGACTGATTCTCCTGCTCCGACAAAGTCTCAGTGCGAAATATGGGAATGGCGAGTTATTGCGATTGATAATTGGCTGTGGGCCTACGAACCATGACTCGAGCAACTTGCGGTTCACGCGGTTCTTAGTTCTTGTGAGGATGTCGGTCTCGTCATACTTAAATGGGTCACCAGCTTCCGTTGAGTGGGTTGCAACCTGGTAGTTGGCGTCTTTCCTCCTCATCGTTGCTGCGTGTCCGGTTATTCGCATTCGAAGTAATCTCCCGGTTTCCCACCATGGGCGCTTTGTCCAGAACTGCAACCGGAAAACGACTCCAGCCACTTCCTCCCTTGGCTGTGGGTCTACCGGTTTCATGATCCGGCGCCTGATGGTTGCCTCCAGCCTGTGTGCAAATCTAACTCCAAGTGGAGTGAGAAGGCGGCTGACTGCTTTCGATACGTTCTTCAAATAAGGTAGCTGGATTTGGTTTCTTATCTCGTTTGCGTATGCACTGGCTGACACAATTGGGCGGGTTACCATTGGCTCTCAGGTTCCGTCGAAAAGATTATAATGCGGACACTTTGTTTTCCATTTTGCTGCAATGCGTCTCAACGCGCCGGTATAACGATTATACGCAGATGTATTTGCGACTGATTGGAGGGGGGGTTGATTTTTAAGTTAAGGACTTGCCTACTGTTGGTCGCTTTCAGGAACGCTTTTACTTTTGGGCCACCACGGTCTTTGCGGCAAATCAGAACATCCAGAAAAGCTAGCCAAATGTCAGCACCCAAGTCCATTCGTTTACGACGAAAGTGTCATCCCCATAGCGAGGGCAGAACTTCCGTCTGTGGTGGCGGAAAACCAGTGACTCTAACCGTTGCAAGACCACTTTGGCTATGAGTCCAGAAATTGTAAAATCCATGAGCCTACCTTCATTTGGTCGTATATTGTTTCGTTAAACGCAGCGTACGTCCTGAGACAGGAGTCCAAGAGTTGGTTGATTTGAGCGTGTCCGACGTGATTCTCCGCTTTACCGTATTTTTCTCCTAGGCGTAGTGGTTTTGTAATGTTTTCTTGATCTTTCGGCTAACTAACAGATCACATTTCGCCTTCAATCATGTAATTGACGTATCTTTTGAATTTGTATTTTGTATCGGTACATTACCTAGCCATTTTTTCTAACAGGGAGCTCAAAAGGCGTTTGCCCATTCTTCTATTACTACAGCTGAACTGCACTTAAATAACCGCAGCCTACGCTTGACACTTACTCTAACCTTGAACCAGAGACAGACAGCGTTCAGGAATGTGTGAATTCCCGACCCCGGGCGTATTGCAAAACTACTCGCGTGACCTATTGCTAGTCTTACAGTAAAACCACACCTACTTAAATAAAATAAGTAGGTAGATTTTTCATTGGCTGTGCAATTGCGTTGACGTACAAAAGCCTTACCGAAAGCAAACTGAAAAAAAGAAAACAAGACTACACAGACCAAGAAGGCTCGGTTAGCTGCTGCTACTGCACTTACACAGCGTTGTTGAATCCCAGTGGTTCGCGACCAGCCAGTTCTGAAAACTTGTCGTGCACGTAGACAAACCGCTCTGGCCTACTGAGATTCCTCTGCAACAGACTGGCCACCGCGATGGCGCCCGAATTGATCAGCGGGTTGTGGGGTCGATCTGGACAGAAGAAAGCATACTAGCTAAATGTAATGAAACTTGCAGAAAGGGTTTAGTAGAGTAAGGTGTTCAACAAATACTGATTCGCCTATGAACGAAATGACCAATTGACCAGATGGCATGACGATACTTTATTAACTAATGGTGAAGTTGGCGGACAGGATTACCGGCAAAGAGAAAAAAGACTGAAATGGTCAGTTCTGGCTTATTAGCCGTCGTCAGCCAGTCATACCCAGATTCAAGTGGTGTCCGATATGAGCCTAAAACTCGTGAACTTTTTGATCCAAGCCAAACGCCCTAACCATTGAACAACGAGCTCGTTGCCTCGCCGGTTTAGGTCGGGGTATATTGACACTCCTTGTTGCACGTTCATCTGACCGCTAACGGAACTCATATGTCTCGACATAGAGCCTAACAACCGTAACAATTCGTAGTAGGCAACTATTTTTGTCGGCAAGAGAGACTAGAATGCGATTTCTGGCTTATAAGTTCGTGGATCAGTTGTAAGGGTGTTTCTCTCTGATCAGAAAGGCCGCGAGTTCGAACCTCGAATGGGACCGCACTTGGATCTGGATATGACTGGCTGACGACGGTCAATAAGCCAGAAATGTCCATTCCAGTCCTTTTTGTATTTGCCGGTAATAAGATCTGCCCACTACCAGCTGCTACGGCTGCCGTCAGAGCCTCTGTCGAGGCCCAAGACAGAGCGGGACAGATAGGTTCCGTGAGCGATCAGGTTAACTTTCATTAAGTAATGGGGAAGTTTCTGAATGGTATATGTGACTGATGGCCACAGAAAAGAACATAAATGCTCAGATTGGACTTGTCTCTCTAGTTGATGGCTATCTCAGACGGCCCGAAAGTGCCGACGTAAGCGCGAGTGAAATTATCATTGCTGGTTTATATTCTAGCCATGCAACTAAACGCAGACCAGTCCTAGCTCGAGTTTGATCAGAAGTTAAGTTCTACAACTGCTACATCAATAATCTAGTCAAGAACTAGCGCCCTAGTTATGACTGTCAGAAATATTCAAAATGCATTGAGCGGGCTAGCTGAGTGGCGTTTTCGAGAGAGGCCTGCACGTAAAACAGCCTTGCCGACTGCTCCAGAGCTGAGAATGACGACGCTAATAAGCCAACATTAACGGCAACAATCACAGTCCACTCTACGAGTCAATAACTGTCTTGTCTTCTCGGTACGAGCATATGCTAAACATCTTAATTGACAACCCTAGGCAAACGGATTGGTTTTATGCCATTACAGAGGTTAGCTACATATCCAACAACTGGCCAAGTGTGTTTAAGTGGTTGGGAATACGCAACTATGAAATATGCTACAAACGCAATTGTTTCCTTGATGGAGAGAAGAGGATCAAAAAAGAATGCCGGTAGATTGTTACAGTAAAAATTACTGTTACTGCAAAAATTCCCATCAGATAATGCAGAACAGCATTTGGCGAATGTACATTTTCGGCAAATTCTCCTCAGGCCATACATTTACATGGGAAGGTTAAATTTAAACAACCGATCGATCGTCTTTCCTTACATGCGGGAGCCAATCAGAGCGCGGATTAGTGCATGCCGCTAAGTGACTGCGGGCAACGCCAGATGTGGAGTTTGCCCGAAGTTCGTTTGTGCACACAAAGCCGGCTTCCTCAACCGGATCGCCGTTGCTTCTGCTGTTGCTAGCAAACGGTGACTCAGGGACTTTAAGTAGTTTGATGGGACCTTGTAAATTTCCCTAAAGGCTTCGCTAGGGTCCACACGATGTCCGGAATCAACCATGTGGGCAAGGATAGAGCTGTTGATGCTTTTGATTTCACCTTTGGCTAGCCATGCTGGGAGGTGTTCGCGTATTCTTTTGGATAAGCGCCGACTCGTGCGACCGATATAACCTTCTCCACAAGACCAAGTAAATGACTAGATACACATAGAAGTGGTCTGAGCTAGCAACTTATCCTTACCTGCGCCGTGTAGGACCAAGTTGGTTGATAATAACACCCGACTTTTCTCTGTTGGAAAAGTTTGTGTGACGGTGTAGTTTAAGCTCATCCGGTCTTCATTCCGACTGCCTTCTAACCTGACCAACAACTGGGACCAGAAGCGTATACAGTGGATTCCCTACCATATGAATTGCCCAGTAAAATTCTGAAACGTGCTTTCGATTCGCACAGCTTACTTAATAAAGTTTGCAATACTGATTAGTGTACAGCCTACACTTTTTTCCTGGATGTTTCTCCTGCAAGACGTATATTCTGCAAAAAATGGCTGCTTACGTAATGTGGATATTAAGCATTGATCTTTTCTACCCTTATATAGTCAAATATAATTAATGGAGAATATGCACAAAAATATACTTTCACGTGCTCGTTTGATAAAAAAATTGGGCACTTTTCCATTTTTGTATTTGAGGAAGTGCTATCTCTTGGTTCTAGGTAAAAGTTTTTAATTGTAGAACTTTTTTCTACCGTTAAATGTTTATTAAAAGTACATCAAATACATTAAGTTACTAATGTTTTCTATAAAGGATATAGCAGAATCCGTATCCATTGCACACTTTTATGAGTATTCGCGACCGCTTTCTCATTCCACGAGGTAATATGTACATTTCTCTAAACAGACTGTATACGGTATGCAGTTTGAAACGTTACATTCGCGTTTAAAGACCGGTGGGGATAACCTGAAAGCAACATCACATTAAAAAATTGCAGGTTTGTGCAATACGGGACAGTTGGTAAAAGGGTTTGTATGGGTGGGCCATATCAAAAGAAATAAATGAAACATCAATTTATAATAAAGTTATAAAACGAAAACTTAACTAAACGAAGCTTATCTAACTAAATGAAAAGCTAGACTAAACTTATATAAATAGAAATTTAACTCATAAAACTATATGATAAACTAAGTACTAAAGTACATTAAAAACTAGAGCTGAAAACTTAACTTTATACTAGGCTAAACCAGAATGTATAAAACTAAATAATAAACTAATGACTAAACTAAGCTGAACAGTAAAATACTAATAAATAAGGAGATAGTTATGTGCAGTAAAATACGGTTAACGTTTAAGGAATCCCGACCTAAAGGCTAGTCAAATGCAAGCCTATTCAGCAATTTATACGCATTTTAAACCCAAAGAATGCTCCTTCTTGAAGTATACACTTTTAAGAAGGCGTTGTTTTTCTGCTAAATACATATTAGTAGCCATTTTTACAGAATTCGCTGTTTGCAGGAGGAAAGAGAGAAGCTTGGTCAAAAGCCGATGTGCTGACGTGAGCGAAATATCTTGAGTTGAGGCTACACGATAATTAGTATTACAAGCCTACTTAAGTGCGTTGTTTGAATCGAAAACAAATTTCAGAATTTTGGTTACTATTTCATGACCTAGGTTGTTTACTGAATATATGTGTTCGTATACGCCGTAGGCAGTGTGGAACAGTCCACATCCCTCCCCCTGCGACTGGCGGGTGCGTTTTTGAAACATCAGCATGCATGCGATCTGGTCCCAGTACGTGCCCTCTCTACTGCTTCTTCCTTTTTCAGGGAAAATGAACGTGATATGATATCTGGACACCGAGTGTTTGTGCATATTACAATATCAAATGTAGTAGATGAGGTCCATTGGTTTTAAAAGTGGTGGTTCATGCAGTTGGAATCATAACACACATACCTTGGCAGAAAGAAAGTTGGGCTTATAAATTACAATTTTAGCCAACTTGGCTCGCTTCGATGGGATTTGCTAAGAGGCACGGAGAGAGCAGGAAGAATGCTCTTTGAGGAGCGATTTTTGAAGGCAAGTTTTTCCTATTTTTCTAATCA